TATATATGGTGGTACTGTTCAATTAATCATTTACATTACCTTTGCAATAGGAAATATAGATGGATTTCATTATTCACTGACAAAATAGTTTTTTTAATGAGTAATGATCAAATTTTATTGTTTAATGAATACTTAAAAATTGAAAAACACACACACACACACACAATTCCTTTAAAATGTCATAGTCATGATGAACATGCATCTAATGCCCCAGAGCTAGTTGATCTCTATGTTGCAATTTATGTTTGATCAAGCAAGTGGGGCTGGAGCAGTAACAAAAACTATGCATGGTCCATGACTTTGTCAATTTAGGCATCAACTTGCACTCTTGGTTTTATAAGTTCAGTAGAACATTCCCACTGTCCCTGCCAGACTTTGCTATTGATGCCATTAGAAAGATGTTTACAGAGGACAATGCAAAAACTATATTACTTCAAAAATGTTTCAATTGGCTAAGCTCGAGGCAATGGATTATAGAAAACCCCTTCACAAAGTGGCCTGGGACAGAGTAAACTTTGGCCTTGTTGCAATCCTTCTCTTCCCAGGAGAATGCACATAGTAATTCCAAGTCAGCATGTGATGGGAAATTAGATCCAGTCAACTCTTGTGCCATAATCGCAGGTCATGGCATGCAAAAGTTTTTTTTAAACAGCCAAATCGCAAGGTTTTCTTTCATGGTGTTTCTTTTAGATATTCAATCCTAATGTTTTATTTTGATCGAGAAAGGAAGTTGAGAAAGGCACCTTAAAATCAGATACAAGTTGCCCATGAAGGGCCTATGCAATTGACCATTTTGTTTTGGCGGTTTTGGATCATAACGTTCCAAGACATTGCAGTCTTCTCTTTTACCTCTCTTCTTCTATTTTCAGGCTTTGCTACCTTGGGCCATGCTGGAAGGTTTGAAGGAGCCATGGGCACCGCAAGAGAAACCAGCAAAGGAAACAATCTCTATGCATCCCCTCTAGGGATCCGAAAGGCACACTACATGTAGAAACAAAGGAGGGGAAACAAACTAGCAGCAGAGGAAATCAATCATGATTTTTGTTTTCCTTTGTATGTTTGTCTATATTTTGTACTCTTACAGATTCCACAACCAAAGAAATGCAAGGATTTTTTGGGGAGAATAATAACAAATCAGAGTTAGGAAACTATGAGATGATCTATGTGATGATAATTGAGTGCCAAATTCTGAGGAGCTGAGGAGCATCTTGCGAATTCTCTATAAGACTCATTTATAAGCTCGTATGAACTTTTAAAAATGCTATTATTAATATTACAATGCAGCAAATCATTTAATTCAATGAAAGCCTGATTTTAACATTCTTAGTAGTTCTTAGTAAATAAGAATGTTCTTAGGAATGTGTGAATATTTCTTTCAAGTCTTCTTCCACAAACCGGACAGTCTCAGCGCAAAACTCGCATTTCACTTCCACATAGCCTGCAAACAACCGCTGGGGCTGAGATTTTTATACGTCAAAGTTACCGTTTTCACTGAGGAGTTCTCTCACGTCGCTTGCTCCCAAAGAAGCCACTGCCCGTATCATCCGAGGCTTGAGGTCATCGACGCCGCAAGGCCCGAATTCCGGAAAAACCTGATACACGAGAATTTTACTTTAATTTGATAAAGAAAGGTTACGTACCGGATCACTGAAACTATCGGTGCCGATTCCTTCCAATAGGCGAGTTATCATCTCCCGAGCAGTCATATCCAAAGAAGGATCCGACAAAGAATGCATGCTTGCGACGTTCTTTTCGAGCCGAGTAAGAGTTTCTTCCGAGCAAAACGGCAGTGCCTGATCGTCAGGATCATTTGTGAGCCGTAGGAACAAGCAAAGACTAACCTGCACGAGGTATCCCCGAGCAGCTTTCACCGTGCCTTGAGTACTAAACGCTACTCCAATTCCGAGGGCAGTGTTTATCTGGCGAAGTAGAAACATTAAATCGTTGTTTTATGCAGCGGCCAGCCATTACCTGTTCGCTCTCAGCAAGATATCGAGCTATGTCTTCTGCAACTTCACCGCTGTATATCGGTGTGCTACCACTGCATAAACATTCTTTGATCGTCAAGTAACGCGTTCACTTTCGTACAAAACTTGAGTTTACGTGTATGGCTGCTTCCACCGAGGATGATTCCGCACGACATTTAGAGCACCAGCACCGACAGCAGTCCCTACATCAAGCTGATGTCCGAGAATAATCAGTTCTATAATAACTTAGATCAAAGAAGTAACATACTTTTCCTTGCGGGGTTAGAGGAAGGTCGCACAAAGGATTTGAAACAAAACCTTTGACAAGTTTCGACTGGGAGGCCACTGTTGTCATTTGTCCTAAAGGCCCTCTACCTAGAAAACTTATCTGTAAAAACACAGTAAGGAAGTCTTCCTGAAACTTTTCCACATGAAAATCACCTGGACAGTCTCAGCGTCATCCTTAAGTGAAGCTACTAAAAGTGTTCCCAGAAGCGCTCGACCAAGAGCTGCGGAGGCCTTAAGAAAGAATATAAGGATCAAACGACATATCAGTTCCAAAGAAGAAACTTAAAAGTGTCGAGAAGAAACAAACCGTCGGAGATGTTTGATGACGGCGCTGGGCCTCTTGGACCAAATGCTTTCCAACAATACTAAGAACAGAGACCTGAGTGGAATAGAAAAACCAAAGAGAAAACACAAACAAAGGAAAAATGAATCAATACAACAAGCTTTGATCTTGGGGGAGAGCATTACCAGCTTGCAACAGGGGTGTATCTCTTGTATACCTCAGCATTCTTGGAAACACATCGCAAAATCTGATCGTTTCCACTGGCCGAGCAGCGTAGCGCCATAGCTCCCCTTCTCTTTGAATTCCTGGCACTAAAATCCCACGCATTGTGCCCGATACAGCAGGCGCTAGCTGGAAGATCGCAATGGAAATGAGAAGAACGAACAAGCGGAGGGGCGCCGGCGCTTACCTCGACAAGCCATAGCGAGATTTAGGGTTTATTTTTCCCGGGCATTTTTCGTTTTAGGGCTTATCTTATAATCCGCTGGCCAGTTCCTTGCCACGTGTCAGAGCATCATCGCCAGGTGGCGGAGTGGAAGGCTATGGCGGAAGAATGGAGCCTGTGATCTACCACAATGGAGATGGTACGTGATCTCACGGCTTCGCTCCTCCCTCCCTGGACATCCAAGCCCTCTCTTCCAGCAGCGGCGGAGCTCAGGCTGCCGCCATTGTCAATCCACAGGCGGATCGCTCAAGTGTCGCAGCACGCCGCATTGGCGCTGATCGGCTCGGGAATTTCGACCGGGATCGCGTCCGCGCTGCCGGAATACGATGAAATTATCCAGCGCGCGGCTGGAGCGGCGACTCCAATCGACGCGGCATCGGCAATCAGCCCCGCGGATGGCATCGATTTCAGCGTCGCGGAGTCCGTGCTAGGTTTTGTGTCGGATAATCCCGCGGCCGTGGCTGGAGGTCTTCTGGCAATCGCACTGCCGGTTCTCATTTCGAGATTGGCCGGAGGGAAGCAGCCATGGGGTGTCGTGTCCGCCAAAGAAGCGTATGAGAAGCTCGCAGTGAAGGATCCAGCGTTCCAGATTTTGGATATCCGAGAGCCCAGCGACATCAAGGCCGAGGGGACGCCGGATTTGAGGCAATTCAAGAAGAGAGTGCTCCAGGTTTCGTTCTCTCAGGAGCAGGATGCTTTCGTCGCGAAAGTGAAGAGCAAATTCAAGGATCCGGCAAGCACAACCTTGTACATTCTCGATCGGTACGTGATCCTCCTCGAGCTAGAAGCTTTTGTTCTTGGATGATCTAAACCACTGTGATCACAGCTTTGATGGGAACTCGTTAGCAGTCGCCAAGTTGCTAGCTACCAATGGCTTTAAGGAGGCTTATGGTATCAAAGATGGTGCCGAAGGTGGCCGAGGCTGGCAAGTAAGTTTCTTTCTCCCTGTGCTTTCTTTGGTCACACAAAATAAATCTGGAGGTTTGCAGCAAAGCGAATTGCCATGGTTGCTACCACGGAAGGGACTCTCGCTCAACCTGGATGCTCTGAAAGAAGCCATTCAGTTTGTAAGTTAAGGCACAGGGTTTTGTTTCTTCGCGTGTTTTCTCTTTGATGAATTCGGGCATTCAGGAAAGTGATCTTGTCCCAGCGACATTGGGAGTGGCTGCTGCTGCCGGGGTCGGCCTCGTTGTTTTCTCCGAGGTAAAACGAAAGAAAGAACGAAGAAAAAAAGTTTGACCTTTTGATGAACTCTTCCTCTCCCAGGCAGAAACAGCTCTCCAGCTCGTCGGGACTGTCGCGCTCCTCCAGCTCTTTGCCAAAAAGTTCTTGTTCGCCGAGGTTGGACAAACTCACGCTCACGCATCGAGTCCAGCCTAACACACTCGTTTGCAGGACCGGAAGAAAACGCTGCAACAGATCAAGACGTTTCTCGACACCAAGGTCGCTCCGAAAGAGCTCGTTGAAGAGATCCAGGTAGAGTCACACAAAAACTCTAGTCCCTCTGCGATGCTAAACTCTTGAGAGCAGGGCGTTGGCAAGGCCTTGCTTCCCAAGTTTGAGGAAGTATCGGCTGGGAATGGTGCCGTAGTTTCAAGCGAGCCTGCTTCTGTTAATGAAGAGAAGGTGGTCGAAGCTTCACCTCCATCTCCAGCTCCAATCGTCGCTGCAAAAGAAGAAGAAACTCCAGCACCGAGCTCACAATCTTCGGAAGAGAAGAAGCCATCAAGACCATCGTCGCCTTACATCCTGGTAAGCTCAAACTCTGGATTAAGATAGATGAAGCTAACTTTCCACAAATTGTCACAGTATCCAGATCTAAAGCCACCAAGCTCGCCAACGCCATCGAGGCCAGAAAAATAGCAAAAGAATCTCCAGTTTTGTTTGGACTCGAATAAAAACGCGAGGTGTCTCGTTGGATATTTACCGCGTGGATGGAGAGAGTAAAACTCGAATTGACCGTTTTGTTTGATGCTCCAAAGTACCTGGGGAATATCCCCAACCACCGCAAATCTAAAAACCCTACCAGGAAGATCCACAGCGCGGGGGAGGGGGCGGGGGCGATGGCGAGGGCGCCAGTATAGATCCGCCCGGCTCGAGCGCCTAGCGATTTCCTGGGGTATGTAGGCTCGCAGGGATTTGGGAGTGGCCGGGGCGCGCGATGACCTTGGCGGAGTCATCGCGGCCGTCATGGCCGAATCACTCCATGGATTTGGGGAAAGATATGGAGAGAATGGCGGTGGTGGATCAAAAGGCAGCTCAAGAGAGTCTTTACCAGTATTGCAAGCCGGTGGAGCTCTACAACATCATCCAGCGCCGAGCTATCGTCCAGGTAGCGTTCTTGAGCTTGTTTTCCTTCTCTTTTTTTTTTGTTTTGGTTTGGTTCTTTCTTGGGGTCTAAAGAAATTTTTTTTCTTTGTTGTAGCCTATCTTTCTCCAGCGCTCCCTGAGCTACAAGATTCAAGCGAGACGCGAGAGACGGTAAAGTTCTACCTGCATTCTTTACTTTTCCACCAATTGACGTTGTTCCTTGCTTAGAACGCAGCTGTAGGCCACTTGGAAGGGTGATATTTCATTACCTATACTACTTCAACAGGCTTCGCAAAATTGAAGGTTTTAGCGTGTTCTTGCGTTTGGCGAGATCTCCGCTTGACGGTGTTTTGTTGTGCTTCCAGCGACGGAGAATTTTTCGTGCCCTTTTTGCCTGGCTTGCTGCTGGACTTTCAAGGTAAATATCGAAAATTTTGCCTTTTAGTTTCAAGAGATTACGAAGTTTCTTGCGTTTTCATTCATTCACAGGGTTTGCGTTGTCACTTGGACTCGTCGCATGATCGTTTCAATTTTGAATACTCGGTTTGCCGTCTTGCCGCCTTAAAACTGGGTTTCGTGACCGTTGTTTATGCTTTTGTCAGGCTACGGGGGATATCCAGGCCGTTATTGTTACTTGTAAGAGCGCTATCTACGGATTCGAGGTGATTTTTCCTTTCCAGCAGCATTTATAATTCTGTTACTAAGCATCCGCTTTGTTTTCCTTAAGAGTATTGACAGTGACATTGAAGTCTTGAGTGATCCTAGACTAAAGAGTTTTTACTATTGGTGAGTGTCAATTTCACGTTGCGGGAGGAACTTAAAACTTTCTACTGATTTGCTACTTGCAGCTCTCATGTTAGTTCCGTTAAAAGACAGAGGTTGAAGTCTTATCGGCTCACTCAAACAGAACTCCGGACCAATGGTCACCTGGAAAACGGCAAAACTTTTCTGGTGCGTAAAGGCTACGAGCATTCTACTGGCAGTTTCAAGGATTCAACATGCACGACCGCTTTTGGAGCTGTGTTGCACTCGAACGGTCATGGGGGCAACCAGCTCTTCAAGCAAGTACCAATCTACTTGGCCGACGGTTCCTCTCAAAGGTTGGAGTCGCAGCTGAGAAAGAAGTCCGACGACACAGCGCACAATGCAGAGGAAACTCGCTCGGTGGCGAGTACATCAGAGAAGGAGTTGGACGCGAGGCAGGAGTTTTTGAGAACTATCTCCTTGTCGGACAGGCGTTTTTCTCTTCCTCCGCCAAAGAAGCAGCGCGGGGAAAAGACTGGAGAAGTTTTCAAAGGTGTCCCTCCAGCTTCTGCAGCGAGCGGAAGTTTAATCCGCGCGGGTGCATCCCGCGATGGTTTGGCCTTGCTTCCTCCGAAGAAGCTCGTGAGATCCTCTGGCCCGCGGGTGGAGAAAAGCCGCAAGGTCACGAGTGAGCGCGCTGAAGCACGAAAGTAAGCGTTCTGTTCTGGCACAAACTTTGTGATCTCGTACTGACAATTCTTTCGAGTGTGCAGTCGAGCTCTACTTCTGAAGCGTCAGTTCTTTCATGCGCACACCGGTCAGGTTAGTCAGTAGTATTTCCGAAGTTCGAGTCTAACACATTCGTGTTTCAGCCCATGGCAAGCGAGCAGCTATTGTCTGACAAGGACAGCGAAGACGAGCTCGATGATGCAATTGCGAGTCTGGAAGATTGTCGGGTATGAGAACTCTGTCAAACGGATTTCCTAGCACATGTCTCTAAGAACGCAATTCCTTTCAGATGCTGGACGATTTTGTCGACGTGACCAAGGATGAGAAGGATGTTATGCACCGCTGGAACGATTTTGTTCGTAGACAAAGGTGAGAGAGACACAACCTTTGTTTTTCTATCTTGGATCAACACGCTGCTACAGAGTTATAGCCGATGGTCATTGTCCGTGGGCGTGTCAGGCTTTCGTAAAGCTCCATGCGGAAGAGTTTCGCAAATCTCCTTCTCTGCGCAGGTAAGCGACACCCCCTTTGTTTGGTGTGGCTTGTTCTTTAGTTCTAAGCTTCTTTGTTTTTAATCTGTGGAAGGTGCTTCATGTTCCTACTTGTCAAGTTCTGGAACAACCATTTGATCGATGGGCAGGTCATGAATGACTGTCTATCTACAATTGACGTGTTGGGGCATTAAACTTCCCTGACGAAAGAAAGAAGAAGAGGGAGAAATTCATTTAATTACAAGCTTCCAAAATGTTACTGGCGTACGATGCTTGTATTGTAGGGTCAAAATTCTTTTTTTTCTCCAAGGCGGTCCCTGGGCTTGGCGGGGCGCTCGCTCGCCGACAGACGCCGCGGCAGCGCAATCGATCATCGATCGCGCCCCAAGTTTGTGGAAGGTCCCGGCCTTCGGCAGCAGCGATCTTTGTCGATCGATATCTCGGCGGCAACGATCTTTGTCGATCGATTTTCGGCAGCAGCGATCTTTGTCGATCGATATTTCGGCAGCGATCTCGATCGGTGGATCGATATTTCATTCACAGCCCCGGCGGCATCGATATTTCGAAGGCTGGTGCGTGATTCACAAGGATTCATGGAGCTCTCCATCGCTCTGGTAAGATCTTCTCAGTTTGAGTGGTTTGTCACTGCTCGTTTCACCAGCTCGACTGTTCTTGAGGGCCTCTTGGCCAGCGGCATTTCTATATCTGTCGAAATCCCTCCTCTTTGGCTTCACGATGGATGGTACGTCGTTAGTGTTCTTGGTTACATTGGTTACATAGCATTAAAGTTTTGGCTTGACCACCAGAAGTTTCGTCCCGAGATTTCCTCCTCCTCCAGATATGCTCCACGAATTCTGGCACCGAATCTACGCTCGACTGGATCATGTTCTATCTCTTCAATCCCTGCTCGCAACGGGCGATCGTTTCCGTGATCCAGCTCCTCTTTCTAGCGGTGTTCGTGGTGCTGGCAATCATAAAGACGGCCTCGCAGCTTAGAACATCACGACACTCCAGCTATGGGAAAGAGGTGACGACTACTAAGTCCACGAAGATGTTTCACGCAACTCTGGCTCTCGCATCTATGGCGGGCATTCTCTACGCCGCCGTGGATGCTTGTCTGCTCTGGCTTAAACTGGCCCGCGAAGAAGCTTCGGTTGCTACAGTCGACATTATGTTTTCCACCATACAGAGTTTCAAGTGGCTCTGCTTTGTCGTCATCGTTGGACACGAGAAGAAGTTTAATATCCTTGTCCACCCTTGGACGATTCGATCCTGGTGGGTGATTGATTTTTTGTTGTCAGCCTTGCTTTTCTCTACTGCAGTGCAGAGAGTAGTACTAAGATTCGATGCTCACCTTGCTGGCAATGGCATCGTCTCGCTGGTTATGTTCCCGGTTTCTATATTCTTTCTCGTGGTGGCTATCCGAGGCTGGACAGGCATTGTCATTTGTTCTTCGAGCGTGGCCAAACCACTGCTGGAGAACGGGCATTTGGAGAAAGTTGTGGACGATGGCATTGCTGAAGAGGTCCTTCCTACGACGGGGTACGCTACTGCCGGGGTCTTCAACAGGGCCGTGTGGAAGTGGTTGACACCGCTGCTAGACAAGGGATACAAGAGTCCGCTCCAACTCCATGATATTCCGCTGCTGGCACCCGACGACAGAGCTGAGAGTAACTATTCGCGTTTTAAGAGGGACTGGCCAGAGAACGACCCGGGCAGCCATCCTGTGAGATCGACGTTACTAAAATGCTTTGGCGGCATTCTCTTTCGCAACGGACTGCTGGCTTTGATCAGGCTTTGCGTCATGTACGCTGGTCCGATTCTCATTCAGAGGTTTGTCAGCTATACCGCAAATGCTTATCAAGGCCCGGCTTACGAAGGATACCTTCTCGTCCTGGTTTTGCTGATCGCTAAAGTCATAGAGGTGTTCTCGTCTCATCAGTATAACTTCCAAAGTATGAAGCTGGGAATGATGGTTCGCTCGACGATTATCGCTGCTGTTTACCAGAAAGGCCTTCGTCTCTCGAGCTCGTCCAAGCAGGGTCATGGAGTTGGCCACATTGTGAATTACATGGTGGTGGATGCTCAGCAGCTCTCGGATCTGATGTACCAGCTCCACAACCTCTGGGTTCTTCCGGCACAAGTTTGCATAGCTCTCGCCATCTTGTACGGAGTTATGGGATTGCCTATGCTAGCCGGCTTTTTTGTCATGGCGATTATTATCGCCCTCAACTTTTACTACACAAAGAAGCAGCGAGAACACCAGACCAAACTCATGGCCATGAGAGACGAACGGATGAAAGCTACGAGCGAGGTTCTCAACTTTATGAAGATCATCAAGTTCCAGGCGTGGGAGGACCACTTTCTAGGCCGAGTCGAGGGGTACAGGATGAGGGAGTACACATCTCTACGCAAGTTCCTAATCGTCCTTGCTCAGAATATAGCAGCCCTGTGGATGTGTTCTTCGCTGGTGGCGACGGTAACTTTTGCGGCTTGTGTGGTATTCAACGTCGAGCTAACTGCCGCCAAAGTTTTTACAGCCACCGCAACTTTTCGCATACTGCAAGAGCCTGTCCGAGCATTTCCTCAGGCACTCATCTCCATCTCGCAATCGCTGGTGTCGCTAGAGCGGCTGGATAAGTACATGGTCAGTGATGAACTGGACACGAAAGCTGTGGAGAAGCTACCAGCGGATGCCGATGCTGCCGTCGATGTTGAGGACGGGACGTTTTCCTGGGAAGAGGATGAACCCACGCTGAAAGATATCAATGTCCACGTGAAGAAAGGCCAACTTGTAGCAATTGTTGGGACTGTGGGATCCGGAAAGTCATCGATGCTGACGGCTTTGCTTGGAGAAATGCGCAAGCTGTCGGGAAAGGTAGGACTTTCTGGTCTCAGAACATGATATGTCTAACGCTTTCTTAAATCTATCCAGGTAAGAATTTCCGGCAGCACGGCCTACGTTCCACAAACTGCCTGGATACAAAACGCGACGATTGAAGACAACATTTTGTTCGGCTTGCCAATGGACAAGGCGAGATACGCTGCAGTAGTCCGTTCGTGTGCCTTAGAACAGGACTTCAAACTCATGGAGTTCGGGGACCAGACGGAAATTGGAGAGCGAGGTATCAATCTCAGCGGTGGGCAGAAGCAGCGCATTCAGCTGGCCAGAGCTGTGTACCAAGACTCGGACATTTATTTGCTTGACGATGTCTTCAGTGCTGTGGACGCTCACACTGGCACGCACTTGTTTCAGGTGCAACTTCTAAACTTTCTGTTCATATTATTGAGTCACATAGCCTTGTTTATTTCGTAGGAATGTATACTTGGATATTTGCGAAAGAAGACGGTGTTGCTGGTTACGCATCAAGTTGAATTTTTGCATCACGCCGACTTGGTTCTGGTACGTTTTCTTCTTTTCTTTTACTATTTATCGTTCTTAACCACAACTTTTGTAGGTTCTGCGCGATGGCACGATTGTTCAATCTGGCAAGTACTCGGAACTCTTAGAAAAAGGAACGGACTTGGAAGTTTTAGTAGCTGCTCATCACAGCGCAATGGAATCAATTAGCATGGACGAGCAAGATGTTGTTACTGATCTCCCTCTCGAGGCTACTCAGGAACGAAAGCTGTCATTCAAACGAAGGCCTTCGATAAGAGAGCCCCGTCAGCCGCAGAAACTAAAAGGCTCAGCCAAGCTTATCGACGAGGAACAAAGAGAAGCCGGACGAGTCGGATGGAGGGTCTACTGGCTGTACTTCACCAAAGCATTCGGCTGGCCAACACTCCCCATTATTGTGTCGTGTCAAGGATTGTGGACAGTGGTGAGCATCGCAAGTGACTACTGGCTTGCGGCAGAAACGGCGAAGACGTCTTTCAGTGCGGCCGCATTTGTGAAAGTTTACTTGGTCCTCAGCGCGATATCCTGGGTTTTGGTGATAGGAAGAGTATCGTTTCAGACAGTGGCGGGATTGAAAGCAGCACAGATGTTCTACTTCGACATGTTGCGCAGCATTTTTCGAAGTCCAATGTCTTTCTTTGACACAACGCCGTCGGGAAGAATTTTGAGCAGAGTAAGCACGATAAGTTTTTCGATTCTTTCCTTCGTTTTCTTGCTAATTTTGCTGTTTCTCGCTGTTGCAGTCGTCTACTGATCAGGCTCAGCTTGACGTGCTCGTGCCGTTTTTTGTATCAGGAACCATAGCGACTTTCTTGGGAACTCTTGGTTCTGTGATAGTGGCATGCCAAGTTACGTGGCCACTGATTTTTCTCATACTGCCTCTTGCTTGGGCTTTCCTCTTTTACCAGGTATGGTAGGATTTCTTCGTCTCTTGAATTGAAAAACTCGTCTTTGCAGAATTACTATATCACAACATCTAGAGAACTTACTCGTTTGGATTCTATCTCTAAAGCTCCAGTCATTTTCCACTTCTCCGAGACATTAGCAGGACTGCCAACTATCCGTGCGTTTAAGAAGCAAGAAAGCTTTATTGATGGCAATGTGGACAGGGTAAACACCAACATACGCATGGAGTTTCATAACATTGCCTCGAACGAGTGGCTTGGATTGAGGCTAGAGCTGCTCGGCACAATCGTTCTCTGTGCATCGGCTTTGTTGCTCGTGACTCTTCCAGCGAGTATTATCGCACCTGGTAATAAGCTTTGGATCAGTGTTACTCGTTTTTCATTTCCTTTCTGTTACAGAAAATGTTGGTCTCGCCCTATCGTATGGATTGGTGCTCAATTCGTCCTTGTTCTGGTCGGTGTGGATTGCATGCATGCTGGAGAACAAAATGGTTTCTGTAGAAAGAATCCGACAGTACACTACCATCGAAAGTGAGGCCCCGAGGATAAATGACGACTACAGGGCCCCTCTAATATGGCCCAGCCAAGGAACTGTAGCTGTTCGAAACTTGCAAGTAAGCTCTCACAGAAGTTCTCTCGTGTATTATAACGCTGCATCGTTTTACCAGCTTCGGTATCGGCCAAACACTCCTCTCGTCTTGAAAGGAGTAACCTTGACTATCCAAGGAGGAGACAAAGTTGGCGTTGTTGGTCGAACTGGGAGTGGAAAGTCGACGCTGATTCAAGCCTTCTTCAGGCTGGTAGAGCCGTGTGGGGGCGAAGTTCGAATTGACGGCATTGACATCACACAGCTCGGACTAGCTGACCTGAGGTCCCGGTTTGGAATCATACCCCAGGAGCCCATACTGTTCGAAGGCAGCATAAGAAGCAACGTAGATCCACTTGGCCAGTACTCGGACGATCGGATTTGGGAGGTATGCTAGCTTTCTCAAAAACTTGCGGACACGATAATTCTCTTCCACAGGTTCTAAGAAAGTGTCAGCTGGCGGATGCTGTTCAACAGAAAACTGGAGGGCTCGACTCATCTGGTATATATGGTTCCTAGATTTCTTAGTCGGTAGCTGAGATAGACTTTGGTGGCAGTGGTGGATAATGGCGATAACTGGAGCGTTGGGCAGAAGCAGCTCTTCTGCTTGGGACGGGCATTGCTGAAAGACAGCCGGCTCTTGTTCCTGGACGAGGCAACTGCATCCGTGGACGCACAGACGGACGCGGTCATCCAAAAGACGATCCGCGAGCAATTCGCGTCGTCGACAGTGGTGAGCGTGGCTCACAGGATCCCGTCTGTGATGGACAGTGACAAAGTTTTGGTGATGGGCGAAGGTAAATGAATTCATAATGTTGCTTGTGCTTTAACTCTTTATTTTTTTCTCCTTTCTGCCAGGAGAGGTGAAAGAGTACGATCGGCCGTCAGTGCTGCTCGAACGACCAACGTCTTTGTTTGCAGCACTGGTCCGTGAATACTCGGCACGCTCTGGTGTGTAGAAGATTAAAATTCTCTTGGAAAAGAATTAAATGGTCTGGTAATCAACATTAAATTATTCTTAAAAAAGCTGTTAACAATTAAAATATTCTTTCTGGTTATATTAATAGGACTGGACAGAAACATATTCTAAGAATATTCTAAGAATAATCTAGAATTATTTATTTATCTTCATCATTATGATAAGACAAGATTTTAAATTATTCTTAGAATATTCTTTAATCATTTTTCCTCAGAAACTAAGGATAATCCAACTTGCATTTTTGCATTCATCATTCCATGTTTTCAATTGGGCACCCCAAAACAAGTTCTTGTGTAATGATACCTCGTACTTTGGGAATATGCCAATGGCGGGAATGGCAGTTCAAAGTCTTAGGGCACCGTGAACCGGGTCCACGTCACTCACGGCCAGATGAGAATATTCCCGGTACGTATTCTCGGTCGACGGAATGTTCCTGGTAGATTCCGTGTGTTTTGCTATAGGCGCTCAAGCGAAGGTGCCGTCGTCCTGCTTTTGCGGTCATCATCCAGCTATGTTTCGATTTGCTGCTGCCGGCCGCCGTCTGACGAGCAGGTGATCTAGATATATTTTCGTTTTGGCCTCAAAGCTCGTTCTTGCAGGAGGCTTGGTGCCTCCTGGCGATGGATCACGACATCGCACTTCAATGGTGCCTCAAATACCGCAGCTTTCGATCAAGGTTCCTCTTCTCTTCAAGAGTGCTTTCTATCTCTCACGCCACATTTCTCTCAATGCTGTTTTCCAGCTGCTCGGTGGGTGTGGAAGCGCACTCCCACCACTGCACTGCTTCTGAAGAAGCCTGGAGCCGAGCTTCTCGACACAAAGGTAAGTCACCCTGCCAAGTCTTCTTTGCTACGCTCTCCCTACAGGTAGTGTCTCTTTTGAACAATGAAAAGGTGAGAGTCCTGGCTGAGCCTGATCTCCACGCACAACTGGAGAACGAATTAGGCAGCAAATTCGTCCAGGCCATTGGCGATGTCGGGTATATCGCTTTACATATAAGTTTCTTTAGGAATGAGTTTTGTTTTGTTTTGTTTTGTTTTTTTTTGCTGGTTGATTTCTAGCCTTGAGGAAGTGGACTGCTACATGCGTCCAGCCTTTTTCCAAAGTTCGTACCGCCAATTGCTTGTTTCGACCTCGGGTCTCTTGGTTTTATGACGTCCGGGCATCCAGTAAGTGGCTCTAGATTAGTTTCCGTGCTTTAATCTTGACAATTGATGTTTGGTTGTAGTTTTGTAACTACAGGGAGGAGCTCACGCAGCTCCTCCACGGGACAGTGCATGTAATCATGAAGATGCGGCTACAGTGTGAAATCGTGCGTCACAACCAGCAACACGAGCCCAATGAATACAATATCCACGTCCACCATATTCTGAACGAAGCCCCTTCATCTGCAAAATAGAGTGCTTCCAAGAGGGAAACCTCATCACAAAGGTAGTCCTCTCTTTTCCTTTTCTTGTTTACAGGTACAACACCCACCGGGAGCACTGGCTACTCAAGCGCCGCAGGCGGGCCTCTGGTCCACCCCAGCGTCTCTGAGATTGTGTTTACTCCTGTGTGTCCGCACTCATTGTCGTTTCGCCCTCTGGTGCTCCCGGACTCTACCACCTTGGAACTCAAGCTACCAGCTTTTCTATTTTACTTTTTTTCTCTCTGTAAGCGTCCATGGTAGGTTCCCCGCGACGCCAGGGACGATGCATACGTCTCGTTTGATGGAAAGCACCGGCAAGAGGTTGCGCGAGGAGACAAGATTATGGTCAAAGCCAGCCGCTACCCTGTGCCAATCGTCACCAAAACTGACGGAAGTGTGGAGTGGTTCAACAGCTTGAAGAGCTGCTTCCAATGGAGCGCCCTCTCTCTGCAGTCCAGGAGCAGAGGCCTCTCCCTGCAGCAAAGTGAGAGCTTTTCAAGTTTTTTCAAGTTTTCGAGTTTTCGAGTTTTCGTTTCGAATCCGAATCAAAAAATCAAGTCGTTTGACTTTACAGCGCTAACATCCCTGGCTGCCTGGGACAAAAGCTAGCAGTAAGGGGAGCATGGTCTGAAAGTGAATAGCTCTCGGGCCAAGTCCCCTCCTCGACTTGTGGAGGATAAAATGATGCATGCTGCACTTGTAGATCCGCTCCCACTAGGCTCTTCGTCTCATGCAGCCCCTGAAACAGCCTCGTTAACCAGCTCTTTTTCTCGTGGTTGAGCAGCGTCTCCTGCATATATTTATGTTTTCACGGCATTGTAAACCATTGACTCCAGAGAAAGCATACTTGGAAATCTTTGTAGTCGATCACTCCGTTGGCGTCGAGGTCTGCAGCCACGATGAGCTCTTCGACCTCTTCTCTGGACAGGCCTTCCAGATCCTCCTCTGCTAGCTCGTCCTTGGATAGCTCGAGCTGTATGCCACCAGAAAACATGAACTCAGAAGAAGCACAAAAAGACTTACTCGCTTGATTGCGGCATGGAAATCTTGGTCAGTGACATGCTCTTTGCCTTGCAGAAAGAAACCGAAGGCATCTCGCCCCTGTTTGCCATGCTCGCGAAGGAGCGTCGACTGAAAAGGCGAAAACCAGTCCCAGGTCAGATAAAAGTCTACAAAGCTAGCAGAAAAACTCAACTTAATGATGCCAAACACGGCTCTTTTCCAGCTCTCCCTCAGGGGGATCGGTTGCTGTCGAGTGGGATTCAGCAGCCATATGAAGTCAACTCCACATACGTTCCCGAGGTGGTTTCGATGACTCACCCACTGAGACATTGATGAACAGTTGAAGCATGTAAACCTCTAGAGAGGCTCAGCCTTTACTTCTTACCCGATGTGCATCTGCATCGATGTCCCAGTAGTCCCGTGCCATGTCGTAAGACGACACAAACCCTTGAGAGCGCAAGAATCTGTAGACCTGGCCTCGCTTGCTTCCGTTCCAGTCACTGAAAGACAGGCAGGCAGAAAAGAACAGAAGAAAAAAAAACGTTGTTCGTGTACATTATGAGAGATACCGAAGCATGAACCCGAACATCGTACCCGCAGAGAAGAACCGGCGCATGCGACAGGCTGCGCTCGTCCTTAAACTGTTCCACATACTTGAGAATTTTATACGCCTGCAAGCAAAGCACAATGCACAGCACAAGTAAGCGACTGGATCCCAATGTAAACTGCCTTCCCCCTAAGCGCATACCTGTCGCAGCCGCAGGAGGCTGTAGTTGGAAGCATGAGGGAAGATAAGATGAGTGTTGACCAGAACAACTTGTTGCTGTTCCCGAGGGTCGTCCTTGTTGGATTTCAGGTGTAGGACTTGAGCGACACGGTCACCGCAGTCGTGGAAATGTAGCTCTCGACAGTCGAGCACCCGGAGTGCATCCTTCTTCACCGCAGTGAGGAGCCCTGAGAATTGATACTTCGGGTGATCAGAGAGGGGGAGCTAACTTGAAGAGAGACTCACCGTCACCCCGGTCATTGGTTCTCGCCAGCTTATACGTCTTGTAACCAGCATCACCCAGACGACGATCGTACAGCTGCACAAGCTCGTCGTTGGCAAGCCAAAACTCCTGCGCAGCATATTAGCTACTATGGCGTGGACAAACTTGCCATGTATTCTACCTGCAAACATACGACTGACGAGTTCTTCTGCAACAGCAGGTCCAGAATTTTCTGGTTCCTGCTCAGCCAAAGCTCACGGGATTCACTTTCGCGGCTTTCCTGCAAACAACAATGGATAGCAGGATGTGCATATATCAAACAAACCTCATCATGACCCAGACGCCTGTAAATTGGAGCATGAATGTTGAAAGTGGTACACGAGAGCACTGCATTGGCGGCGGTGGCCTGGAGACGGGAACGCGATACCTGGGAGACAGCACGCCGCAAGAGCTGCGTCATGGGAAAGCCCTAACCTTAGGAGAGGTAATAAATATTCATAGAATTTTTATTGAATATGCTAGTAGTTCTCCGTTGCCTGCCGTCTGACGTGTTCGAGGAGGTTTTTTTTGCTAC